TAACACCTTTTACTCCAGAGAGCTTGCAGCTTTCCTGAAGACTTATGTCTCCTCTCCTTAGTTACATAGACATGCACATGTACGGTGAAATCTTGTTCCCCTTGAAGTCAGCAGTAACACTCCTCTTGGATCTAGTGCAGCCAGGATTTCACCTGTAATTTTAATGGTCCCTTATGCATCACTTTCATCACCCTTCAATCCTATTAGCTGTCTTTCTCTGAACACCTTACTTCCTTCTGATACAGAAGATGCCTGAATCCATGGCTCTATATGACTACATCACAGAAACTGAATGGTAACACTAATTCATAAATTGCATTTCATAAGCACTTTTTATTCAAGAAACTTAAAGTATTTTCTAAACAGTAATCATTTAAGATTTACCATGCTGTTGCAAAGTGCACAGGTGTTATTTCTCCTGTTTTACAATTGATGGGAATGTGGAGTAGGAAAGGAATATTGCATCTCTATTCCATGACGCATAGTACTAGATGCCACATTACCTTTTGAGCTTTCTGCTTTCACTGGTAAGGCTCTGAGGTTTTCCTCTTCTATTGTGTTTCTGTGGTTTTGGATTATTTTTCACTAACTGTATTAATTTCATTTTTTCCAGGATGAATCTAATTCACTTATTCTCTGAATGAATCTTGGTTTGAGGTTTTGCACACAGGAGGAAGGACAAGGAAACAATAAGAAAGAACATAGAGGGTGTCTTTACATGTGCTCCGGGGTGGGCACTTTAATTAGAGTGGCTCTCAGAGCTAGTCTAGTTACGGCACCCACAGCATCTCGTTCAATGAACTTTAGTTAAAGTGCCCCTGCCGCCATTTTGAAGCACAGGGATGCTGAATAATACACATGACACTGAAGCTTCTGGAGTGTGCTAATTAGCTCGATTAATAGAGTCTGCTCTGCCACTTGCTAATTAGCATGCTGATTAGCTCCAGTGTTTGCTAATTAGCACACTTCGGAGCAGGTATTGGGCATGTGTATAGGTGCCCTCTGTGTTCTTTCTTTTTGTTTCCTTGTTGTTCCTCCTATGTGCAAAACCTCCCATAATTAAGTCACTTTAAGAAATTAATATACTGCTTTTACAAACCACTAATGAAGATCATAACTGATAGCAAATTTAACATAAATAACCACAGCAAATAGGTCCAGTAGAAAATTACTCATTTTCGCATATTGGTAACTAGCAAAATTTTGTTGACAAATAACAGACTTCAAATACTCTGAATAGTAATAAAAATCAATATGCAGCCCAGGATATTAATTCTATTTGTTTGCCCTTGCTAGGGGCAATACAATGGAACATGTGCTTCTGGTTGGGGGAATAAGGGGGAAAGAAATATGTTCTTTTTCTGGTAAAGGGAGAAGGAATGAACTGTTGCCACTGGATAGGATGATTAGAGGCACTGAAGGGAAGCTCGTGGGCTTCTTCCCATAACCAGAGGGGAGGTAGGGAGGGTTGCTTCCTAGATTCTTAGATTTCCTTTTCCAGTGGCTTTGTTGACACAATCTGTCTACATGTTCCTTCTCCCACTTTCCTCTATGTGGTAGGATTAATTTGCGGAAGAAACATGAAGCGCTACCACTGATCCAAAGAGGCACCAAAAGGTATTTGGAGAGGGTAGCAGCCAGTAGTCATATGAGAGGTACAAATTGCTCAGCTGCATGAACAATTTACATGCACAGGTGACCATGCCAGTGGAAAATTGCAAAGCTGGATTATCTTCAGTGTTTAACCCCTCTCCAGCCATTTTCAGTCCATGTGTCAGCACTTGTATCCAGGCCAGTAAGAAAGAATTTTGCAAGTAAGATTCTGCAAAACAGAACCAGCTACTAATATAGTAGTTCTGTCTTTATTTTTACATAAAGCTATTGGTACCATATTGTTCACTGTTTCATTAGCCCAACAACTGACTGATTTGCTCGTTCAACCAAGTTCACTGAGAACAACGGTAAGAATTACCATATTTTCTAAGACACGATATACACCTTTTTCCCCCCAAAATTCAGCTGCTGGAAACTGGGGTGCACACGGCAGCAAGAAAGTATAGTAATAGCAGTTTCTTCCTCGGTTGAGAGAAAATGACACTTTCTTCCTCTCTGCCACCCACCTACCTGGAGAAAACCCTGCTGCCAAAGCTGCTACTCAGTTACTTACTAATATTTATTCTTATTTTCAAGAAAAGGCCCTTTTTTCTTCATACTGAACCCTCCCCCCCATCCGCATGCGTGCACGCGCACGCATGCGCGCGCACACACACACACACACACACACACACAC